TTTTCTAACAAAACGTGTTGATATGGCAGGAGACAAACATCTGCATTGCAAATAGTTCTCAGAATAGTATCAAAAGTCAACTTGCAACGAATACTTTTTGACTACTAGACACCTAATGTTATAAGATAGTTCAGCCTTCAGAGACTACTTTTGTTCCACCGTTACCCATCATTACGTACATGACAGGGGCGGAACGTGCGACCTAGTTTCGATTCCCTTCACTAGTACATACTATAGATCTACATAATGGATAGAACCATTGAAATTTTCTCTCGGTCGTAGGGTGCAGATACCGGCACCACACCTCGCTAATGTTTTACGGCTGCTTTGACGAAGAAAAACCATAATTGTAACTATGTGTCAAAGGAGAGAAACAGGGCGAGGAGACAGAAAATGAAAAGGAGATGACAACTACGTGAATATTTGAGAGATAGAAATTTGAGATAAGAAGTGGGAAAGAATAGGGAAAGAGAAGAAAAGGATAAAGAAGAGGGGAAAGGAATTGAGTAACTCCACGTGCAAAACTGAATGAAGGAAAATAGTGTGTGTGTAATTTGGAAAAGTGGGGAGGGGGGGGTAGATAAGGAAATGATATGAAGACAGCGGAGGGGAATATAAAAGTGAGGATGCTGTTGGAATGCGGAGCCGTGGGTGGTGAAAGGGAATAAACAGGATGAAAGACGGAGAGAGCAGGGGAGTAAAGAGGGCCTAACTAGAATGGAAATAAGAAAAAAAATGGAGAAAAAAAAACACAAGAAGATCCTGAAGTGGAGAGATGTGATTTCTTTAGAAGGGAGGGGTATGGGGTGGGGTGGTGCAAAAGAAAGGGAGAAGAGGAGGGGAGCATGGAATGGAACAAGGAAGATGTTACCAAAGTTTGTGTTTTATATTTTGTTTTCGTTTTTCTGATGGGGTTTTGTGTGTGTGTGCGGGGGGGGGGGGATTGTTGGTTTATTTAATTATGATAATGATCAACTCATTGCTGCTATCGTTGTTGTTGTTGTTATTTATGTTGTTATTGTACAGGTCTTAATATTGATCATGGGGGTAAATGCGATATGAAAAAGCAATAATGATTGTGCCATGTTGCCCATGTTAGCGCTATGATAGTTTGATAAGCTAAACATCCATAGAAATAAGAGTTTGTCGAGAAAAAAATTGTGATAGTTATCATTTAACAGTAATTCTCTTGGTAGATTGTATCTCCTACCCGAAGGCGGTCTATTTATTTTGTTGTCTGTCTCTAGTGAACTTTTGTACAGTGCTAGAACGATAGATGTAGACTCTATCAGATTATCAGCGGAAGGAGAAAGAAAATTTGACCACCAAACGTTTGCTTTCCAAAAACAACGCTTCTCTTGCTATTGAGAATAGTTACTGAAACTTTCCTCTGACCAGACTTTTCTTTAGACGTATTGTTTTGAAAGAAGGGGCTAGTTTAGTTTGGCTGAGCCTTTCAAATTGTAGACTCGCATGTTTATTTTATTTTAGACTGAATAAAAGAAGAGCAGAATATGAGAATAGAATGAAAGGATGAAGAAGAGATGTTATATTAATTCTGTTTACGACAGTATTTTAAGAGGATGTGTGTCCCCGAAAGGCACTGAAAACACCCTCTGATCAAACGTAACAGGAAGCCCGTTATATATGTGGCAATTGGAACAACAGCTGCGAGAGACCAAAGTCTAGACTAAATTGAACGGCTAGTTTTTTAACCCCCTCACCGTGCGCTTATGTTGACATTGGTGACTCAGCGAAAGCATTCGTCTCTATCATTAGTGGCCAGCAAGCCCCATACGGTACGTGATGTATATGGTCTTTTGAAGCCCAACGTGACAAGGGTGCCCTTTCGGAGTCATTTTGGGTGATACAATAGTTTTGTACTTGTACACCACATAGGCTACAGCTCGATGAAATTAAGGAGAAAATTGCAGAACTTTACGTCTGTTTCTGATGCAATAGGTACAGAAGTTTTGTAAAAACTACCTTAGCCAAACGGACGGCAAGAAACACGAGTTCGAACCCTGTACTCCAATCATCGTTCTATGTGGTTCACCATAAATATGAGAAAACTGTCCATCCCATTTTTTTAGTGCGCATTAGGCCTGCAGTAACAGCGTTTTCTCTTGATTCAAAGACTGACCCAGATTACTCCAGTGGTCATCGCTGGCCGAGCGGCAACTGTCTGACCTAGGACGACTGTAGGTCAACAACAGTCCAGTGTTTAGTCACCTGAGAACGGTAAAGCAAACTGTTAGCAAAGGCAAGGTCGGGCAATGAAAGGAGAGGTCACGTTTACTGCCCGTTTCAAATATTATTTAACGTGCGCGCCTTATGATAACGCAAAGGTAGATTTTTAAACGATCATCCTTAAAACGCACGAATTTTAAGTAGATGTTTCCTGCAGACAAAGTTCAGACTGACAAAATCCGGTTAGAGGTACTTTTAGTGTGTTCTTCAGCGTTATTCCTGTTCATAGAGAATGCGATGTCTCATTGTTGACAATTGTTGATGGGCGATAGCAATTGCTAGGAGCAACGTCCCGATTGATCGTGCGCGGATTTGCGTCATCATGGCCCGCTTGTGTGATGACGGTCACCGCTCCGGGTTCTAAACCGCCGACACCGGTTGGTTGAGCGCTGGGGGAAACCCGCGACCGTTAAATCAGCCCATTGTACACCGTCCCTCGCCTTTCCTGCCGTCCCACGACCTCTCGAGGCCGACTCGAGCGAACAACTGAATTCGTATAGCGAGCTCGGAGGCTTATATACAGTGTCTAAATTTAGGAACCAATGAGAGGCGTGGGGAGATTTTTCCCTCTCTCTTTTCTGGGCTCGTCGTAATTTTAGCTCCCGTATAAGATCATCCACTTCTAAATAGTTTGAATCAGAATTAAACTTGTTGCTCGACAGTGAGTGTGTCAGTCTGCATTCTGCTGCTTTCTGTGGACTAAGCTCGAGAACATTATTTACAGTGAGCCTTACATGAAAAGGAAGTTTATTCTACAATTTGCTACAGTTAAAAGATGACTAAAGTGCTCGAAGCATCATCGATGGATGTCAATACAAGATTCAGCAACAGTTTGTTGCCAAAATATGAGGAGCGCTTTCTGGATTTTCATAATGTAAGTAATCATTTTCTATATATTTGCAATGTATGCTGCATTACTGTCGTTACTACTTTGTTTTGAAAGTGTTTATAAAACTTTGATGGTTGGGGGGAGAGGGGGGGGGATAGGACTACGCCCTGTGGTATATGATCAATTACGACGCGCAGGGACTAGAGAACCAGGGAGGAGGGGGGGGGGGTTATAGCTCAGTGTCGACTGAGAAGGTATTTGTGTTGTTGTAACTGGGGGAGAAAAACAATGGTTGAACATCTTATTTTTAGATTGCCACCACTTTCAAAGTTTTTGTAAATTCTTCTTACTTTGATTCAGATCTTTCAGAATGTTTCTCCAGTCTGGAAACTTATGCATGCATGTACGCTTAGGTACTGTGAAGTCTTATACTTCTAAAGATTTAGACTTACATTTCTCAGAGAACAAAAATATGCTTTCCCGCAATACCAAAGCTTTGAATAGAAAATCATAAGAGTAATATAAGAGTTAAGATGTTTTTCTGCGCTGTTTCAAGTTCAAGCATTTGTAAAAGTGCTTTCCTGTGACGTATTACTATGCACTCTTATCTGTGGCATAAGTATGTCAAACAAAATTAATGTTTCAAACGGGCATGTATGTGTGGGTAAGTGTACATGATGTGTGCAGATCATAGCATCATCATTGCGCTCAATTTGGTTTCTTTATCCTTCATTCACTTGTCTGGCCCATACATAGCCCTTTTGCTTATGTAGGTTGTTTGTTCGTACAACAGTTTCTTCTATAAGCGCTTACTGTTGCTGACCTCGATCCAACCAGTCACGTCATGGGTAAGCTGCGTAGGTGAAACGCCATAGGTCAAACGGGGTCAACTCGATTTGGGCAGCGCGCGAGAGAGTTGGAAGCAGAGCTGCTGCGCTCGCTGTCGACTTCTCTTCTCTCCATTTTCTCGTCTCTTCCTGCTCACTCACTGTTCTCAGCTTTGGATGCAGCGTTGCCCGCCAATGCTGTGTGAGTGAGTGAGGGAGGAAGGGAGGGAGTGAACCGGTGGTGAGCAGTGGGGCTTGAGAGAGAGGGGAAAAGCGCGCTTCAGGTGGTGGGTGGTATTGGTTTGCCAACAGTGAGGGTCCAGGGGTAGGGTGGCTTGCTGTGGTTTACGGGAGTTTTGGCGAGAATTGAACTCGTGTCTTCTTATATTGAAGGAACATTGCAGGAAATGCAAAATCGGAAAAAACAACAAACATGGCCGCTTTGCAAAAATAAAAAGGCAGCATCCTTGAACGTGATTACAAACAACCATGCATTCTCAGAATGAAATTAAACAGAATGTGAGAATGAAAGAGGACGGGGTGAAGTGAAAATGGAATAAAACACAGGGGCAAGAAAAGATGTTTATTTTACAGACTAGATAGATCTATATCAGATGTAGACATATACACGTAGGCTACACAAACCGAAAGTAGACGCAACGTTCAGACATCACCTTATGGCCTTCTAATCAATTAGTTTTGTTGTGCAACAGCAAGTCCTTGAAAAGGCACCAAGTATATCGCTGCAGCTGATAATGTGCTCAATTTTCAAGGTCAGCGTCTGATGTGGCACAGATCCACCTAGGCTATTATTGCAGCTCTCATACCTCTGTGATGCTATTCAAAAACTTCATCTCTTCGTCGACTCTGACCTTGAATTCAGTTTGCGCTTTGTTGAGAAAATCGGATCAGGCCGTCACTAAGCATGATAGATGTCAGTGGCGCAGACACGGAGCTATGAGACCTCCGCATTGGTCGGTTGCAGACGTCAAAATTGTGTTTAGCGAACCTCATTGATTGGTTTTCTCATTACATATGTTTGTCTTTGGCTTCTGACTACAAGTTAGCTAACAGATGGCCAGACATTTTAGCAGACTGAAGGCACGAAATATAGTTGAAAACGAGATCGACAGATGATTATCTTCTGTCAAAGCTAAACTCCTGTGTTTTACTCCCCGAAATAGCGGTATGGCACCTGTTGTTATGAGAACAATGCGTGATTGCTGTACCTAGTTTATTCTTATAGGTAGGCTAATTAGATACAGCTGAGTGTAACTAGTGATAAAGTTCTGGTTTTCTAAAGAAGCAAAGAGGTCGTTCATGAGTTTCAATAGATTAAAACTTAAAACATGTGAAACACAAGCTCAACTAGTGAAACTGCATATATCAAAAATGTTAAGAAAAATAACCCGGAACGCTCTCTCTCTCTTTCTCTCTCTCTCTCTCTCTCACTCTCTCTCTCTCTCTCTCTCTCTCTCTCTCTCTCTCTCTCTCTCTCTCTCTCTCTCTCTCTCTCTCTCTCTCTCTCTCTCTCTCTCTTCCTCCTGTCTAGCACCGAAGTGGCATCGCCTTCAGTCAGTTACAGTACGGTTCGTGTCAAGAGAGTTGTCTCGGAAAGGGGGCATGGTGGAGGGGGGGGGGAGTTTTATTGATCATGAATTCAGGAAATCGGATTTGCCCCTTTATGGCATCAACTCTTGGCCTGCACGCATGCTCTATGATTTAATACTGGCGACAAAGCACCTGGGATGCCCTAGCTTATGGTATAAAAGGGCGAGATGGAAACAGCAGTGCTCACTCAGATTGTGACCTCCTTCGTCCACATTGCTTCACTACAATAGTGTACTTTATCACAAGTCTTATTCGGATTTCTCAGTCTGTGCTTACTCTGCAGCATTGTTCGCTTGCGTTATAATGGAATTTTCCTATGTGGATTTTCTTATGGTGGGTAGTGGTGCCTCAATTTTCTGTCAGTTTGTTTGTTTCACTCTATTGCTTTTCATTTCTGACTAGTGAATTTGTTAGCATTATGCTTTATCATAATTTTATTAACTTCAAATGGTAAGAGAACTTGAGCATTGAGACAAATGCATACATGTTCCAGTTGTTTATTTGCTCCGTCTTTCCGCCAAGCAGATTTTTAAGTATTTTTTTCCTTTCTTTTCAGAACTGGGCTGGAGATGTTGACAACTTCTTGTACCCAGACAACACTCCCTATGAGACAAGTATGATCAGCATCTTGAACGACAACCTGAGAGCCTCTCCTGTCTCACCTCTTACAGCCTCCCCGGAGTCTCCTTCCGCTCACAGCCTGCCTTCTCCTTCCACATCGACCACAAGCATGAGTCCTACCAACGGTGCCTTCTTATCATCACCTTCACAGATCTCAGCATCTTCTCCACACATGGGTTCTCCCTCCCTTGGCAGCCCCAGCTCTTCCAGCTACGCCAGCAGCATCTCCCCAGCCCCAGCTGACAGCATTTATGATGAACTGTTGGACTTGGACTTCATCCTGGACAACACTGTTGCTGTTGAGACCAGCATGTACGATGAGAATGGGAGTGGCTGCCAAGTGAAAATCAAACAGGAGCCAGGAAACGTGGGCAGTGATGGTCTTCCAGACTTCCCTTCCACGTTTTTAGATATCCCTGACATTAAGTTTGATGATGATATGAGCAATACCATCATGTCTCTGAACTCTATTGTATCCAGCAGTGGTGCAAGCACAAAGAACACTAGCCCCAACCCCAGCATTTTCTCCTCCAACGCTTCACCAATGAACACCTCTTCACCTATGTCGCCTTCCCTGATGCAACAGCAACATCGCCAGCAGCCTCAGCAACCGTCCTCTCAACAGCAACCGATCGGCAACACCCCTTCCATGACGGAGTTCAAGATGCCAAAGCACGAGTTCCCTCCCCTCCCACAATCCTGCAACTCCTACAGAGTCCCTAGCAACCAACTCCCCCCTCCCCCTCCCCAGAACAGCCACCTTGTGTTCCCCTTGTCTGGCAACCACCTGTCCCCTCCCTCCTCCCCTGAGAACCAGGACGTCAATGGCACAATGCGCAGTCTCAAGATGAGCCCCCTGCCCCCGATGTTCCCCATGGGACACCCGCACCAACAGATGATCATGAGACCCCAGCACCTGATGGGAAAGATGGGACCCCACCCTCTGGGACCCCACGGCTCCCCTCACCAGCTGATCACTCCCCCGTCTTCCCCTCAACTGGACCACCTCCTCATGCCACAGCCTCAGATCGACACCGCCGCCCAGCCCAAGAAGCGAGGTCGCCGCACATGGGGCCGCAAGAGGCAGACCAGTCACTCCTGCTCCCACCCAGGCTGCAACAAAACCTATACCAAAAGCTCACACCTGAAGGCTCACCTGAGAACCCACACAGGAGAGAAGCCCTACCACTGCACATGGAAAGGTTGTGGCTGGAAGTTTGCCCGCTCTGATGAACTGACCCGCCACTACAGGAAGCACACTGGTGACCGCCCCTTCCAGTGCCACCTCTGTGAGAGAGCTTTCTCCCGCAGTGACCATCTGTCGCTCCACATGAAGAGGCACATCTAAGAAGGAGGACCTGATCACTCATGGTGCCTCAGTGCATGAACTCTGTATCAAGAACTGAAACCAGTTCGGCAGCAGAAGCAGGTGAAGCAGCAGTGCGATGACCCCCCACTGCACCCACCACCCCCTTGGAGACCCACGCTGTATATTTTTATTTGTCAACGTTTAACCGAGTTATGACATTTTTGACTGTTTGCTCAGTACTTTCCCTCTTTGTTTCATTTCGACTCAAGAGGTTTTGTATCTGTTGTTGAATGAGTAACATAACCAGGTGGATGAATTCTGTTCTTGGTAAAGGTTGTTGTTTTCGATACAACATCCTGATTTGGTATTGTCACCCCTGGTTGCTAAGTTACATAACGGTTGACAGGGTCTATTTTTGCTTCTCGGACACATTGTCCCTGTAAGTTTGGCAAGTAACCCACTGGACAAGCCCACAATTTGACAAACATACTCATATTTAATCACGATTTTTTTCCTCTCTTTTTTCTGTAAACCTGGCTGGTTCAGGTTTTCTGAAGATTTTTTAAAAAGTGATTAATGTTCATTAATTTTGTTTTGCTACAGCATTGGTCAAGCAGCTGGTCTGCTGACTGTGATGATGTTGTCACTAATGATCACTTTTATTGTCTTTGATTATTTTTTCTGTGACGTTTGTCCTAGTGGTGCCAAACTTGAAATGGTAGAAGCTTTCCCCACGCCTGGGTCTCCTACACAACGCTTGTGCTGGCCAGGCCAAGCCGAGATAGGAGCCCTAGTGAGGTGAAAAGAAGCTCCATTTTAAAATTATTTTATTTTGCTTTTTTCTTCTTATACTGTATTATATTTTTTTAGTCATGACAATTATTACTACTGTGTACTGCATATTCTTACGTTTCATCATAGTTTATGACAATTTAGAATATCTTACGTTTTCACTTTTTCTTGTGTAGCTAAACTTTGACTTTGTCACTCTGTGTAGACTCTTCATATGTTGTTCTTTTTACTTGTTTGAGTTGTACATTGTTTCTCATCAGTTCAGTGCTGAGCCTAAAAACTTCGGGTTCCTGGTGTTAGTTTAGGTAGTGGACATTCAATTATTAACTCTTAAGTTACCAGTTATTGTAGCTAGAAAATAACCATACCGTAATAATCAAACAAAACTACACTATAAAGGTTAGTCTGTAAATAAGTTGTAAGACTATGTAATGATCTAATTCCTTAATTAGTTGGTTAAATGAACCTGTAAGTAGAATGTAAAGTAACAATGTGGGGCAGGACCTTCAATAGTTAACACATTTACATCATTTATTCACAATAAGCCCACGAGGCTTACCAACAAGTAAACTCAATTTTTTGTTTATGTATTGGTCATCAGTTCTACTCCATTGAACTGCTTGTTTCATTTGCAGCCTAAGTTTTAATTTTGGTTTTGCTTGCTACACATTTACAGTTCCATAATGGATGATGACCAATCATTTACTAAACGTACTGCACATTTGCAGAAATCTCAAACACAATATTCATGGGAGATCATGGTGTCTATTCACCGAAACATGTAATCATATTAGACAAATATCTAATCACATTTTAGCTAATAAATTAAGATACTCTCAGCAAATAAAAAACGAATTAACCAGCAGGACTGGTTCTGAATGGTTGGGTATGGTAAATAAGGTGAGAGAGGGAATCCAGTATTTTAATTATGCACTCGTTGCACATTGTATTAATTTAAAAGAGGGTGCATGGAAAATGCATTTATGATTTTTTTTTAAATATAAAAATCCGAATTTGCACCCCTTACGTTATAATGCACTCTGTACTCTATAACATAATTAGTTGCTTTTTTTTTCTTTTGCCCAAGGCCGATTCATGAAAAAGCAAAACTTTGCTGGATAGCCTTTTCTTTAAAAAAAAAATTAAAGAGTGATGTTTCAAATCACAAGCAAATTGAAGAAAAAATCATAACTAATTTATGTAAGTTGTTTTCATCCTTTTGCATTTATTTTCCCCTCCCCTAAAAGCTTGAGGCAAAATTTGCTACAAGAGAGATTTCCATTGTTCAGTAATCAAAGTAAGGCTCTAACAAAATATTGTTCCGAGTCCAGCAAAGTAAGACTGCCTGACGCCACGTTTGCTGTGTTCTTTCCTCGATGATATTTATGTGCCAACGACACATTGTTCTCTTTTTTTCCTTCTGAAAGTCACTGTTACTTGGGACTGAAGTAATTGAATACTTCATCTCATCTCTGCCTTATTGAACGGGAGTTCTATCAAAATAGTCAATGTTGAAGTTCATATATATATACATAAAGCAAATGACTGATTTATGTATACAACATGTTTCATTTGTGATTGTTATATTGTTGGCCTTATTCTATTGTGCAGTGATAGTCTTGTCCTTCATTGAAATGCTACTGTTCTTATTGACTGCCTCGTTCTACTGTCATGTTTTTACGTACGTGATTTCATCTTTACTAGTTTACAATGGTACTGGTTACCGCTTATTATATAGTAGCAATACTCAGAGAAAGAGATCTTGAAGTTAGGGTCAGAGCCATTAGGGCCACATTATTCTGTTCTTCAAATAGATTTAGTCTGAGCTGGACCCTAATAGGATTCGCCCAAATATAAAGTCCCCACTGCACTATGATCCCAGGGTTTCTGTACAAAGTTGTCTTCCAGCGTTTCTGTAAAAGAGATCATGATGCTAATCCTTTGTGTGGACTTTAGGGGTAACTAGGTCTTGCAATTTTTTTCTAATTCAGCAAATTCTATCACTCAAGACTTTTTGATTATATCAACAAATAACAAATTTGGTTTAGCCAGAACAGTGAAGTGCAATGACCATTAATTTACTTTCTGGGAAAGTATTTACCTTTCAAATTGTTCATGATCGTGTTCAGGGTGAAGTGAACATCTTTGTTCCTACTTCATGAAAATTTCAAAAGTTAAGTCTGTTTGATCTTTAGAAAAATATAAATTTAAATTGTTCCAGGTCCTCTGATTTTGTGTTACATGAATTTGTTGGATAAACATTCAAAAGGTGCTCCAATAAAAGTGTGGTCTGATCACAAGTAAAACTGTTTCACATACATTGTTGTTTTTATCATCGTTATGAATCGTTGTTGATTTATATTTTTGTAATCTCTGATAAAAATTGACTTTTTAAATGACTAGTCAAAGCCTTGTTCTTGTGCCATAGTGTCTTCAGAACGCATGAATCACCTAATTTATGCTTACAGCCACAGCGCAGGCGCTCCGTCATTTCTGCTTTTTCATGATCGTACGGCACAATAAAAACTTATTTATTAAAACCTGAATCGAAATCTTTGCTTTTATTTGTTTACAAATGTGTTGTCCTGTGTTGAATGCGAGACTTACTGGAGTTTGATGTGGCAGAGGCACATTGCTGCTGAAGGTTGTGAGAAAGAGAAGAAGAAGTCTGGTGATGATGGTGACAAGGTGAATCATTGGGAGATGTGGAGATGGTGATGGTAACAAAAAAGGAGGGGTAGGAGGAGGAGGAGGAGGTGGTGGTGAAAAGAGGAATAAGAGAAATTAATTGGAGAAGAGGCGTGACAACTTGTGTTTTGGTGGTTATTTGGTTAAGAAGAGGACGAAAATAAAGTGACTGCTCTGTGGATGGAGATTGAAGATTCTACGTGGTATGTTGGTGAACACTTGGATGAATGTGCATTGTATTGTGATAATAGCGGGGATGTTGAAAAGAAGCTCGACTGGGAGAGGGGGGGATATGATACAAGGAAGACGAAGAGAGAGATAGA